CACAATATCATGCTTCTGTGTAAAAATTATTAGATGTGTAAAGAAACAGAAAAAATGTTTTATACTCAAGAAAAAGTGGCTTAATAAACAGATACTTAGCACAAATATTCAGTTGAGCAGACAAACATATGGAAGCAGCTATTATAAATATGGCAAGGAGCTTTTTAAGAAAACCTTTGAACTGATAGCAAATCTCAGTAAATTAGAAAAATCAAAGAAAAACAAATTGGTAATTCTAGAGTTAAAATGTACTATAACAGAAAAGAAAAATTCACTAGATGATCTAAACTACAGATTTGAGATGACAAAAGATTTTTTAAAAAAAGATAGAACTTTTAGATTAACGCACATTAACCAAACATAAAACAGTCTGAAACAAAATGAACAGAACCTCCAGTCTGTGGGACAATATCAGGTGTTTAAAAAATGTGTAAATAGGATCTCAAATGATAAGGACACATTGAAAGGGTCAGAAAAAAAAATTGTAGAAAAAAACTGGCTGAAAACTTGGCAAATTGTTTGAAAAATATTGGCTTACAGATTTAAGAATTTCAGTGAACCTGCAGTAAAATAAACACAGAAACGCTTCACTTAGGCATGTTCTGGTAAACTGTTGAAGATGAGAGAATCCTTGAACTAGAAAGAGAAAAAACCTCATATGTAAGGGATTTCATAGTACAATAAAGGTGAATTTCTAATAGAAATAATGACAACTAAAAGACACTGAAATAAGATAATGCGAAGCGCTGGGGGGAAAAAGATGTGACAACCAACAGTGCTATATCTAGCAAAACTCTCAAGAGTGAAGGCAAAATAAGGATGCTTCCAAATAAATACATAGCAATAATGGATTACTAGCAAACCTGCTGTACAAGAAATGATAAAGGCAGTTCTTCAGGCTGACACAAAAGATACCAGGTGGTAACTGGAAACTATAGGAAGGATAAAATCAGGGAGAATGGAAAATAATATGGGCAAATTACCACAAAAGCAAACTCAAAAGAGGTAAGCACAACATTCAAGCCACATTTTTTTTGCAATTTGCCCATTCTCTAAAATTAGAACTTTTGTTCTAAGAAGAACAAAGATGAAAGACTACCCAAGAGGAGAACCTAATAAAAATATGAGACCCTAAATGCTGTGCCCTCACAGTGAGGGTGAATTGGAAGTAGAACAGCCCTGTGGAATTAAAGACAGAGATCAATCCTTTAGGACTTTAGGGAATTTCAAGTCTTAAATTTGGTTTAGTTTGCCTTGTTCTAAGACATTTGCCAGGTGCCTGGCAAAATCACCTTTGTAAGGAAATATTTTTATTGTAAAACTCATGTTGTTCTCACAGATAATTTTTCAGGTATAGTATTCGTCATGCAACCAAAGATAAATAGGCACACAAGTAAATTAGACTTCCATCAACAAGCATTACCAAAAACAATAATGAAAATAGACTTCTTATCGGAATTACATGTAACCTGTAAAATAACCATGCTTAGCATATTTAGCAATATGAGAGATTTGAAGGTCGTTGGGGAAAAAAAGGAAACTATAACAGTAAGCATATTTGGGAAAGACAATAAAATTTCTAAAAAAAAGTATTATAATTGATTTAAAAAACTCAGCCAGTGGGTTAACACCAGATTAGGTACAATTTGAAGACAGAATTAATGAACAAAAGATAGATGACAAGAAAAACCTGTTACGTAGCACAGAGAAACAAAAGGCAAAAAATATAGAAGAGAGAGTAAGAGAAATAGAACACAGACGGAGCCTATGTGATGTATGTTTAATCAGACTTCCATGAGGAAAAGAATGGAGCATGTTCAATTTTTGAAGAGCAGATTGTTAAGAGTTTTACAAAAGTGAAGAAGAACAGCGATCTCTAGATTCAAGGAGCCCGGTGAATTCCAATTCAGTGAAATCCTAGCAAGAAAAATAAAAATAAATCTGTTCTAGACACATGCAAGTAATACTGTAGAATAAAAAGTGAACATAATCTTAAATGCAGCTGAAGAAAACTGATAGAGTATCTTCAAAGGAATAGCAATAATGAAAGTCTGAGGACAGTGGAACAATATTGCCAATGTGTGCAAATAACTGTTGATCCTAGGACTTAATATCAAGTGGAAATTTTCTTCAAAAATGAAGGCTAAGATAAGTATGTTTTCTGACAAATGCAAACTAGGATAATTCACTACTAGTGGTTTCTTATGAAAGAAATTCTACCTGTATTCAGGTAGAAGAAAATGATCCCACATAAAAGGTCTAAGTTCAATAAGGCTTGATTAGGTAGTGAATATTCAGATAACACTTAAATGAGTATTAACTGTAACATAATAGAAATAATACCTGTGGGATTAAAGTAATATAATTAAATTATAGATTAATAACAGCTGGGATAAAAAGGTTCACTTCTGCTTTGGGAGGTGGAGATGAGAGGATCTCTTGAGACCAGCCAAGGCAACATAGTGAGACCTTGTCTCTACAAAAAATTATGTGGGCATAGTAGTGCATACCTGTAGTCCTAGCTACTAAGGAGGCTGACACAGAAGGATCACTTAAGCCCAGGAGTTCAAGGTTACAGTGAGCTATGATCACACCACTGCAATCCAGTTGGGCAACATAGCAAGACCTTGTCTTAAATAAGTAAATAAATAATACATAGTTATTTCATAAAGTTAAAAAGGTTTAGTTTAGTTCTGCATCTAACATAACTTCAAATAGTAAATATTGACCAATCTTCAAGGAGAAATGGGTAAATCTATCATGGCTATCGATATAATAATCTGTTAAACTACTTAATTTATTTTTGACCTTTTCTGTGTGTAACATTGAGCAATTACACACTTTCAAAAACTAATTTTCTGTTTTTTTAAAAGTTGTTTGACAACAAAGTTTTATATTATTTTTTAAGAGATGGGATCTTACTTTGTCTCTCAGGCTTGAGCACAGTAGTTCACTGAAGCCTCAGACTTCTGGGCTCATGCGATCCTCTTGCTTCAGCCTCCTTAAGTAGCTGGGACTACAGGCACATGCCACTGTGCCTGATTAATTTTTAAAACAATTTTTTGTAGAGACAGGCTGTAACTTCCTTGCACAGGATGGTCTCAAACTCCTGGGCTTCAAGTGATCCTCCTGCCTTGGCTTTTCAGAAGTGCTGGGATTAGGTATAAGCCACCATACCTGGCCTACAATACCATTTTTAATGACAGCCTCATTTTTAATTATTTCTGGTTTTAATTTGACCAATTTAAAATTTGAAGCATGCATGGAATTATGTTGCCTGAACATTTAATTGTTTAACCTATTCTCAATTTTTAGACATTTGTTTTCAGTATTTTTCTGTTGATATTACAAGAATCATTATAGATAAGTGTTTTTATATACCAGTGAGTATTTACGTGAAATAAATTCTTATATAGTTAATTATGGTACCATAGTACCTATACAATTTTAAGGCCTTTGCAAAGTGGTTTTCTAGAAACTGTCATTTGCAGTTCTCACAGCAGTGTGTGAATAAGCGTATCCATCTACGCGAATAAGTGTATCCAGCGCTACACCATATTTTAAAATATTTTGTTTGATGCTAAAAAAAAATCTTGTTTTGATGTACATTTTTTTATTGTTAGTAAGATTAAACATTGTTCTTAGATTTTTTTTAGAAATCCAAGATGGTTGTATTTACATTTATGTCTATTAAATATCTAATGTGCTATTTAAAATTTTCTGTAAGTAATCATGACCAGATTTAGTGTGAATTGTATCTCAATAGAGTCAGTAAGATTCTGGGTAGATTCTAATGTGAGGTTCACCGCATCTGTGTTTTGGGATGCTGTGATTAAAAACCCCTTTTAGGGTAGGAACACTCAAACATCAAAGGCAAGGTGAGTGTGGTTAGTGTAATGACGGAAAATCAAGACAACAATCACAGTAATTTGAGTTATTCAGACCTGTGGTGTTTTCTAGTTGATCATGGTGTTGTCTAGAAGTAAAACAGTTAAGAAGCCTACTAAAATCTTATTTGATTTGTATAAGCAGAAAGTTCTGTATCAAGTGAATAAAAGCCCAGCTTGAATCATAAAAACATAGAGTCCTGGCCCCTCAGTCAATTCGCACACATGATTCTTTGTAGACCCAGGACCCTTTAAATGAAGGAGAGGCCAGGTGCCCTCAACGAAAAACCCTAGTATGCTCCCTAAAATTTATACTGTTAATCTTTCTCCCAGCCTTCCACAAAGGGAACCATGGCCATTATCAGGGTAACAGTTCCCATGTGCACTGGGGAAAAGCAAATAATTATACTTTAGGGACTACTGGACACTGGTTCTAAATGAACATCAATTCTAGAAGACCCAAAACATCACTGTGGCCCTCCAGTTAGAGTAGGGGTGGGGGATCAGGTGATCAATAAAATTTTGGCTCAGGGCCATTTCACAATGGGTCTGGTGGATCCCTGGATGCTTCCTGTGATTATTTCCCTAACTCCAGAGTGCTTAACTGAAATTAACACACTTAGCTGCTGACAGAATCCCCACATTAATTTTTCAACCTGTGAATTTAGGCTATTATGGTAGAAAAGACCAAGTGGAAGCCTTTAGAACTACTTTATCTGGGAAAATAGTAAATCAAAAACAAAAACAAACCAGAAATATCTTTTATTGACTTAGAGGTTTATAGCTGTTCTGTAGAATTGAGGAAACCCAGTGACTAATTTCTACATACGTGCACTATGCCTGTGGTGTAACTAATTTTTATAATCTTCCGTATGTGTGGGCAGAGTCTCTGGGCATTATTTTCTAAAAAGACACAGAAGCTTCAGAACTATCTCCTTTAGTGACCAATGCTTTGTCTTCTGAAACTAAGTAGTTTTTGGAAAATGTATACTGAATACTAATTTTACCAGTATATTGAATATTTACTTTGGAATGTCATAATTTGGAGCAACATGCCCACAATAAAATTATTAGTGTATTGGGGAGACTATTAATTTTCTTTTTCGTTTCTAGAAACTACCAAGTTTTATATGACAGAGATCATTATTCAGTCATCTGAGAGAAGTTTTCCCATCATGCCAAGGTACAAATAGCAAATTACTTTTATTTATTTGTAATTTTTTTCCCCTATTCAGACTTTTAATTTTTTATTTTTTGGTTTTGAATTTATTTTTTATTTCAGTAGGTTTTTGTGGAACAGATGGTGTTTGGTTACATGATAGTGATAATTTCTGAGATTTGGGTACACTCATCACCCAAGCAGTGTTCACTGTACCCAGTGTGTAGTCTTTTATCTTTCATCTCTCACCCAGCCTTTTCCCCAAGTCCTCAAAGTCCATTGTGTCATTCTTAGGCCTTTGCATCCTAGTAGCTTAGTTCCCACTTATGAAGGAGAACATACGATGTTTGGTTTTCCATTCCTGAGTTACTTCAGTTAGAATAATAGTCTCCAGTTACATCCAGGATGCTCTGAATCCATTATTTCATTCCTTTTTGTGGCTAAATAGTATTCTATGGTATATATTTGTAATTTCGAAGGTAGGGAAAAGGAAGTACAACTGATCATTTGGGAATTCATTTTTATTCATATCTTTCTTTATTTTGAAAAGGAAAGAGAAAGCCTTTTAGATAGTTGAACCAAAATACATATATAAAAGATTTGAGGATTTAAAAAAAATCTTTTCCTCATGTAGTGCTGTAGACAAATGTGCTCTTATAAATCTAATTCTGAAAGTTTTTTATGCTTCTATTTACCAGATATCCAGAGTCTTGTCACCTAGTAACCAATAAGTATTTGAATAATTTCCGGGGGTTTTTTTTTTTTTTGAGACGGAGTTTCGCTCTTGTTACCGAGGCTGGAGTGCAATGGCGCGATCTCGGCTCACCGCAACCTCCGCCTCCTGGGTTCAGGCAATTCTCCTGCCTCAGCCTCCCGAGTAGCTGGGATTACAGGCATGCGCCAGCATGCCCAGCTAATTTTTTGTATTTTCAGTAGAGACGGGATTTCACCATGTTTACCAGGATGGTCTCTATCTCTTGACCTCGTGATCCACCCACCTCGGCCTCCCAAAGTGCTGGGATTACATAATTTCTGGTTTTAATTTGAATTATTTAACATTAAAAATATGGGTCAGTTTCAAATGACTCCTATGTTTTAAAAACATGGTACTTATCTACTAAATCTATTAGTGTTTCTTTGACTCTTTTTAGTTTTCAAACAAGTTAACCATGGTATGCCTTTATTCCAGCTTATTTGTTGATATCCAACAATTATGGCAATCTGAATATAGCCTTGACTTTTATCCTTATGTAAATACTTTGATTCTGTACCTCAAAGCTGACACTTGAGGGAGATCCAAATGGAAAAAAATGTAGACAATACTGTCTGATGTTTGGCAGGAAATCTCTTGCCTTCTTTTGTGAATTAGTTATCTGTTTAATATGCTACACCACAAATGGAATATTGACTTGTTCTAGCATGGATTTTTTTTCATTTAATAGGGGTGAATAGTTAGGTTTGGGGTGGAAAGCATATTAAGGATTGGAGAATAGGTTTTAAAAGGAATGTAGCAAACCTGAATACATCAAAATATATTAAATTCCACATCAGTACAGATTGTGAGGGAATGAGCAGTACATAGAAAAGTCTGGCATGCGGATGTCTCTGCTTTTAGGTACCCTGTGGATATTTTTTGCTTATCTTGCCAGTTAGAGTTATTATGAGACACACATTGTGAAAACTGATTTCTGTTCAAACAGGTCTCAGTTTGTCCAGAGCGTGATTGCCCAGTGTCTGGTGCAGCTCTCCTCTGCTAGAAGCACTTTTAGATTCATGATTCAAGGTCAGGACAACAAAGTGTATATCTTGGTAAGAAATTATTTTATCCAGCTTCTTGTAGCCTAGGAATCCACGGTCTCAGAATTATTTAGTTTTTTCATTCTTTTTTCTTAATTATCAGGTGTTGAAAATAAGGGATTAAAAATGTTAATATCATGCTGGGCACGGTGGCTCATACCTGTAATCCCAGCACTTTTAGAGGCAAAGGCAGGTGAATCACTTGAAGTCAGGAGTTTGAGACCTCATCTCTACTAAAAATACAAAAATTAGCCTGGCGGAGTGGCGCACACCTGTAGTACCAGCTACTCAGGAAGCTGTGGCAGGAGAATCGCTTGAACCTGCGAGGTGGAGGTTGCAATGAGCCAAGATGATGCCACTGCACTTAAGCCTGGGTGACAGAATAAGACTCTGTCATAAAAAATGTTAATATCAGTTTAATTCATAAATCAGCTCCCTTAATTTAATAACACATGATCAAATGCCTCTATGTAGTAGGTACTAGGTATACAGAGAGAAAGAAATCCTAATTCCTGCTATTTAGAAGCTCATACCACAAAATCAGGTTTTTTCCTCTCAGTTTGTAATGGCCATTTTTTGGTCACTATAACACTATTCTGTCTCGCTTTTTTTCCTATTTAGTACTCTTATGTTTAAAACATGTTCTATTGCTCCTGTTTGTTTTTTGTCTTTTGAGACAAGTTCTTACCTGTCACACAGGCTGGAGTGCAGTGACATGATTATGGCTCACCACAGCCTTGACTTCCCAGGCTAAAGTGACCCTCCTTGCTCAGTCTCATCCCAAATAACTGAGATTCCAGGCGTACTCCACCATTCTCAGGCAATTAAACGAATTTTTTTGTGGAGATGAGGTCTCGCTATGTTACCCAGGCTGGTCTCGAACTCCAGGGCTGAGGTAGTCCTCCTGCTTTGGCCTCCCAAACTGTTAGGATTATAGTGGGATTACAGGCATGAGCCACCAAGCCTGGCCCTCTTCTGTTGTTTTTAAATGCCTCTGATTCTGTGATATTTGAAAATAAATGCCTCTGATTCTGTGATATTTGAGAATCGGTGGCATTTTTTGAGGAAGAGGCTCTGTGACTAACAATCATCCCAGCATGTACCACCAGAATCTAATATTATACTGCCTCTATTAAAAATAGTGTCCTGCAGAAACAAATTTGGGACATTTATCTGTATAACCAAGTATCATGGCCCAAGTATCCTCTCTCCTTCTATAACTATTTTATTCAACCAGTAAACATGTATGGAGCATTTATTTGAAAGACACTGTTCCAGGTGCTCAAGGTAGAATACAAGTGCCTTCATGAAACTTAAAAGGTAATAGGGAAACATGGTAACAAAAAGGAGGGAAGGGCCTGAGGTTGCTGGTAGATGTGACTCTGTAGCTGGCCATCCATTATGGGGACCCCATGCTCTTCTAAATGCAGATCATTTCTACAAAAACCTAAAATATTTTCTGACTGATGTTGGTACTAAATATACCTTACAGTTACCAGATATCAGCTTTAGTTTTTCTTTTATTGTAAGTTTTCAAGTTGAAAATCAGGAGTAGGAACTTCTTAAACTTTCTAACATGTATTTAGATTTTTCTTTTTTATAAAAGTAAAATATTTTGGAAACACATTCAGGCAACACGAAGAACATAAAGAAGGTGTGTCCCTGTCCTACCTTACTGTATCATACTATTCGGGGGCAATCAGTATTAACAGTCTGATATGTGTCCTCCATTGTTTTTATTCTTTCCGTATACAACTATATATAGGCACACTCCCAGGTGTTTGTCTATTTGTAAAAAAAAAAAACAAAACAGTATCACATGATTAGTGTTTTTCTGCAACTTGCTTGCTTCACATTATGTATCATGAGGATAGTTTTTATTAGTTTAAATATAGGTCTGGCTCTTTAATGACTGGTATTCTGCTGTAAAGCTACGACCGAACTGCAATGAAAATAATTATTGCCTGTATATTTTAGTATTTCTTTAGAAATCCTCTTTCTAATCTAATATAGTATTCGAATTTTTATATTTGAAACTCAGATGATTATCACCTTTCAAAAAACTTGTACTAATTTATCTTTATAGTGGGCATTTTTGGTGAGCCACCCATTTTAGATTGGTGCACCCATTCCCAGCTGCTGACAGTGTTGGCTGATAATGGCTCACAGCTGCCCCCTTCTCCACAGACTTCCTCTTTAGATGACAGGTGTTGCCTTGCATAGATGTTACCTGTCTACCACAGTCCCACCTCCCTGACCCACCCAACCTTGGTCAGCCTGCTGCCAGTGATTTGATCCTGGGACACAGAAAGCAAGGGACACTTGTCTTAAGGTAGAACAAACTCTGTAGGTGGGATTCATGCTGTAGAAATCCCCATGGATCAGGCTGAAACCCGACTCCAGATAATTCTGTATTCTTGACTAGCTCTTTCCCCTGCTTTATCCCATTTCCTTCACTTCCTTTCTCCTGTGAGTATTCCCTCAGTGAATCACACGCATCCAAATCCCAAAACACTCTCCCACCAGCAGTTTATGGGATGCTGACTTCAAACCCATTTTCTGAAGTGGATGTTATCAATCCTTTTATATTTGGCAATCTGATAAGTGAAAATTGGTGGCAAAATTTTTGCATTATTACATTAAGATTTTAATAAGTGTTTATCATTTACTTTTTCTATTAATTGTGTTCATATTCTTTGCCTGTATTTCTCTTGGGCTATTTTACCCCCTTATTGAAGCTCTGTATATTATAGATAATAACTTTGTTATATATGTATTATTTTCTCCAAATCAGTTGTCTTTTTTTTTTTTTACTTTATGTCAGTTGCTCTACCAAATGTTAATTTTGAAAGGCCTACTTAACTTTAAAATTATGTACATGATTGTCTTATTTATTTTTTCTGGTGTTTTCGTAGACTTTTTTTTTTGAGAGGTCATAAGATATGGATAAGGTGACAATATTCTTATACTTGGACTTTCTCTTCACATCTTTAGCTATGGCTTTTAAATTCAGACAGTTTGCTGATTGAATCTTTGAGAAATTCCAAATATATCAAAGCATTCCCCTTGTTGGAAGACACATTGAAAGCACATTCTAGTTCTGCCTGGAGTGCTGTCAAGGTCCTCTACCAACCATGCATCAAAAGCAGGAATGAAAAGTAAGTTGTGCATTTGTTTTCCCATTCCACATTATGTTTTAGCTTCTGTTGCCATGTTGGTGTTAAGAAAGTAATAAATTATATGCCACTGTACCATTCCCCTACGTGAGCTTCTAGGAGCCATACTGCTAAATATTATGTTTAAAATAGGTTGAATCATTATAGATGATTCATGTTAATATGCAGAAAGCTTGCTTTTACCAAATATTATTGTTTTTTTTTCTTGTAATATAAGCTGTCTATACATATAGCTGCAGTACTAAATCAGACTTCAACAGTGGTGAATATTTACAAATAATTACTTTCCAGGCATCAGGATACAATAATAAATAAAACACAGGCCATACCTCTTAGCATTGTTATTCTAATAGGGGGAAGGACATATACAGACTCATATGTCCCTTACTATGTGTCAAGCACTCATCTAAGAACTTATGGTTCATTTAAGCCTAACAACAACCTGTGTGGTAGATACTAATATCACCTACATTTTAAAGATAAGCACACTAAGACACTGGTAGTAAATTACTCTAGTGAAAAATGAAGCAAGGTAAGGTAGTTGGTGAGTGGTAGGATGGGTATAGGCTGTTGTCATTTTAAATTGCAAAGTCAGGGAAGGTCCCTCAGATAAGGTGAAATTTAAGCAGGTAACTTGAAGGAAGTGAAGTGGTGAGCCATATCTGATGGAAGATCATTCCCAGAAAAGGAAACAGCAAGTATTTTTATGGGCACAGATTCAAAGTTTGTACTTGTCCTGTACTCTGAGATGATTTTGATCAAATTTGTCCTAAGAATGGAAGGATCTTAGTCTTTTTCTGGAAAGTAAATAAGACATTGGAAAAAATTAATTGTGTTTCTTACGCAAGTAGTACCAGTCATAAAAGATTCAAACACTAAAAACATATGTAAAGTTAAATGTAAAAGTTCTCCATCATATCCCTCTCTAGAAGTAAAAAGTTTGTTGTTTACTCTTCTACTTCTTTTTCTATTCATTTTGCACCTAAACATAATTAGTTAAAATATGCTTGATATTTTATGAAATAGAGGTACTATAAGTTATTTAGCCATTTTTCTTTTAATGGATATTTGGTTTATTACCTTTTTGCTGTTATTAGTGTTGTACTCTTGTATATCTGTTTTCTGATTATAAGTTTTTTATATTAGAGGAATTTCTGGAGGGACAATTATTGAGTCAAAGGGTATGGACATTTAAAATTTTGAGAGCTAATACCAAATTGCTTTGTCAAAAGGCATCATAAATTTATACTCCCACCTGAAGCTTTTATAAATGCCCATTTTCCTGCATTCTCACCCAAATTGCCATTTAGATTTTTGCCTATCTGATGTGATTCTAAAGAAAACAGATTTACTTGATACTATCCTTATATTTTATTGAGGCATGTTTGAAGGATGGGACTCAGTTTTATGCTTTCGAGACTCTTTTAGAGGGTTTGTGTTTTTTTTTATTTTTGGTGCCCTTATAGTCAACAACTAAGCTGATTATATTCTGTTGACGTGTGTGTGTGTGTGTGTGTGTGTGTGTGTTTGTGTGTACTTTTATATATTTAGGTTTATATCATGAAATTTATTAAAACCCTTTATATTCATCTTTTCTGTTTATTGAAATGTGGACTTTTTTGACAGGTATGTTGAATCTTGCATTATGATTATTTAATTTTCTTCTGTTTTGATACCAGTTTTCACATTATGTATTTTAAAGCTGTATTATTAAATAAATAAAAGTTTGTGGCATGACAACTAATTGAATATACTAACAATACAAGATTTTGCTTTTCTTCAATTTAATGCTAGTTTTTCTTTCTTTCTAACTTGCTCTAATGGTTAATACTAAATGTCAACTAGCTTAGATTGAAGGATGCAAAGTATTGATCCTGGGTGTGTCTGTGAAGGTGTTGCCATAGGAGATTAATATTTGAGTCAGTGGGCTGGGAAAGGGAGACCCACCCTCAATATGGGTGGGTAACAACTAATCAGCTGCCAATGTGGCTGGACCATAGAGCAGGCAGAAAAACATGAAAAGACTATACTGGCTTAGCCTCCCAGCCTACATCTTTCACTGGTGCTGGATGCTTCTTGCCCTCGAATATTGCACTCCAAGTTCATCATGGAGACTTTGACTGGTTTCCTTGCTCCTTGGCTTACAGACATCCCGTTGCGGAATCTTGAGATGATGTGAGTTAATACAATCTTGTGTGTGTGTGTGTGTGTGTGTGTGTGTGTGTGTGTGTATAGATATATGTATATATATATATTTATAGATTTGTATACATGAACATTTATACATATATCTTTATATATATGAAGATTTATATATATATATAAAGATTTAGATTTATATATCTACATATATCCTATTAGTTCTGTCCCTCTAGAGAGCCCTGACTAATTCAGATTTTGATACCAGGAATGGCTCTAGAGTAACAGAATATTAAGGATGGAGTATATTTGTTGGTTTTGAGGTTTCTGCTGCTTGATATGATTACACCCAAAGATGCTAAGGACTGTACTTCTGATAGCATGGAAAACACTGATAGTTCTTGGCATGGACTGTTTAGAGAGTTATGCAAAATAAATGTGTTTGACACTCTTGATTCACCACTCATGAGAGTCAAGGAGTTTAGTGACTCTATATATAATGCCTTTGACTGTATGTGGAGAACTAAGGAACATAATGAAGTTGGTTGATTTCTCCTAAGTTCACTGGACAAAGTGATGAAGGAAAACAATGAACTCAGGGATTCTAACTCTCAGCTTCAGAAACAGATACTAAGCCTCAAATCTGCTAAAATTGCTCTGAGTGAGAGTCCTATCTCCTGTAGAGAAAGAGCTGAAATTGTGGAAAATCAGACACAAGCTTTTATCATGCGAGTGGCTGACCTGCAGTGAAAAATGCAGGCATGGTCTCACCAGGTGTTTACTGGTGAGGCATTCCAATTAAAGTGAGGGCATTAATTGGAAAAAAATGGGACCCTGCAACTTGGAATGGGGATGTGTGGGAGGACTCTGATGAAGTTGAGGATCCTGGGCTTGTAAACTCCAATGAACATTTTTTGCCAGAAGAAACAGCATCCCCAACCCCAGTAGTGGCAACATCCCCTCCTGGACCCATGCTGCTATCATCTTTTCTCCCTTTGTCTGAGGAGATAAACCCTGTTCTGCCTGAGGCAACAGTGATAGCCTCCCCTGAGGCAGTTGCCAGGCAAGATAATAATGATTTTCATCAGGAGCCACCCCCAACTCCCCTATTTGCTTCTAGACCTATAACTAGACAAGTACTGACAGGCCCCTAGAGGTGAGGATTAGAGTGTGACCCATAAGGAAGTATGCTACACAGTTTTCCAAGAACTGCTTGAGTTTTTAATGTATATAAACACAAATCTGGAAAACAGGCATGGGAATGGATATTAATGTTGTGGGATAATGGTGGAAGGAACATAGTTGGATCAGGCTGAATTTATTTATTTGAGCCCACTAAGTAGGGGCTCTGCATTTATGGTTGCAGCTTTGGGAGTTACAAAAGGTTCTAATAGTTTATTTGCTTGGTTAGCTGAAATATGGATCAAAAATGGCTCACTGTGAGTGAGCTGGAAATGCCTGATTTCCCTTGGTTTAATGTGGAGGAAAGGATCCAAAGGCTTAGGGAGATTGGGGTAGTGGAGTGAATTAGTCACTTTAGACCTACTCATCCCAGCTGGGAGGGTCCAGAAGGTATTACCCTTGAGCAATGCCTGGTGAAATAGATTTGTGAAGGCAGCACCTGCATCTTTGAAGAGCCCTGTAATTGCTCTTCTCTGTATGTCAGATCTAACAGTGGGAACTGTAGTCACTCAACTACAAAATTTAAATACTATGGGAATAATTGCATCCCAAGGTAGCAAGGGCCAAGTGGTGGCACTCAGCTGTCAAAGGCAAGGTAGGCATAGCTACCATAATAGAGCAGAGGCAAAGCAGTAATCAGAACAATTTGACTTGTGTAGAGCTCTGGCATTGGCTAATTAATCGCAATGTTTCTAGAAATGAAATTGATAGGAAGCCTACTGTATTCTTACTTAATTTGTATAAGCAGAAAACTTCCAGACTAATTTGAATTGTAAAGGCAGAGAATCACAGTCCCTCAATCAATTTTCAGACTTGAGCCATTTTACAGACCCAGAACCCCTTGAATGAAGGAGAGGCCAGGTCCCCTTGAGGAAGGACCCCACTACACTACTGACAGTTTATGCTGTGAAACTTTCTCTCATCCTTCCCCAACAAGACCTCCAGCCTTTTACCAGGCTAACTGTACAATGGGGAAAGGGAAATGATCAGACATTTCAGAGACTACTGGACACTGGCTCTGAGCTGACATTTATTTCAAGGGACTGAAAACGTCATTGTGGTCCTCCAGTTAAAATAGAGGCTTACGGAGAGGTAAGGTAATTGTTGGAGTTTTAGCTCAGGTCTGACTTCTAGTGAGTCCACTGGGTCCCTGGACTCATCCTGTGGTAATTTCCCCAGTGCCAGAATGTGTAATTGGCATAGACATACTTAAGAGCTGGCAGAACCCCCACATTGGCTCCCTGACTGGTAGGGTGAGGGGCATAATAGTGGGAAAGGCCAAATGGAAACCGTTAGAGCTGCCTCTACCTAGAGAAACAGTAAATCAAAAACAATATTGCATCCCTGGAAGGACTGTGGAAATTAGTACCACCATCAAGGACTTGAGAGATATGGGGGTGGTGGTTTCCACCACATCCCTGTTCAGCCCTCTTATTTGGCCTTTGCAGAACACTGATGGGTCTTGGAGAATGACAGTGGATTATCGTAAGCTTAACCAAGTGGTGACTCCAATTGCAACTGGAGTACCAGTTGTGGTTTCATTGCTTGAGCAGATTAACACATTTCCTGATACTTGGTATGTAGTCATTGATTTGGCAAATGCCTTTTTCTTCATTCCTGTTCATAAGGCCCACCAGAAGCAATCTGCCTTCCCCTGGCAA